TTTTATGCTGAATTTGTTTCTTTAATAAAGCAATCCCAGAACCATAACAGCTAACAATTAATAATAATGGTAGGTTTTCCATGTGTCAGTGACAATTTAGCAGGAGAAAACATGACTGTAAGCTAATTCACCATTCCAGAAAAAAGCAGGTGGAGGTTGAGCTCCAAAAAACATCTGTCCTTATAATCCCCAGGTAGGTTTGCTGTTCCCTTGGTAACCAAAGAGGGAGGGAGCAGCCCACCTTCAAACACCATTGTGGTCATCTTGGCTAGCCCAGTTTTCTCAGGAGATAATTCGTGGAGGCAGAGCTGTGTGTGTAGCACAAAGACCATTGAACTGGATGTCAGGAGGCTCGGGTACCAGTGCTAGGTCTTCTACTGACTAGACGTATGAACTTGAGCAAACTCAGTTTCCTCATTGGTAAAGTGAATGGAGATTAGACTATATTCCCTTCCAGTTTTAAAAATTCTGATTCACTGTTTCCATTTGTGGAATAAATTTGTAGGAAGAATGGAGGTGGAACTGCTAAGCCTTGTCCAGATCACAAGATTGTCACTTTACAGCTGGAAGGGACCTACTAGTCATCCAGTCCAATCTGTAGGCCAGTAGAGCATACACAGAGCCTGTCTGCTGGTCATTTCCAGTCTCACCACTTGCCCAGATCTCCTTCTTTTGGGGTCATCTTTCTGAGGACAACCTTTCTGCAGCTGCTTCTAGATGATTCTGGTAATTCTTTTATATAATTTGTAACATGTGGCAGTCAACTCTATGCCCTGTGGGTCAACCTCAACTTCCTACTTCATTCAATCCAATTCAACAGTTACTAGATGTTGACTGTGTATGGAGACAGGTGTTAGGTGTGGGAATATTTGTTTTCCAGTTGTTTCAGTTGTATCCAACTCTTCATGACTGGAGTGGTTTGCCATTTCCTTTTCCAACTCATTTTACAGCTGAGGAAACTGAGGTAACAGAGTGAAGTGACTTGCCCAGGGTCACACGGCTAGTAAATGTCAGAGGCCAGATTTGCACTTAGGTTTTCTGGATTCCAGGCCCCAAGGCACTCTAGCTGCCAGGTGCTAAGAAGACAAAGATAAAAATAAAACAGTCCCTGCCTTCGAGGAGCTTACAACTGCAGGTACACAGGTAATTCGGAACAGGAATTGGATCAGGCTTCATTAATGTAGAGAACTTTCACACGAGGAACAATTCAGATAGCCACCTTCTGCACAGCTTACAGTCCCAGACAGCTGCCAGTTAAGAGGCTGAACGACTTGCCCACGATCACACAAGCCACTGTGTCCAACTTGAACCCAGCCAGGTCTTCTTGGCTTGGTGGCCACCTCACTATCTGCCTCTGCCTTGAGACAGAAAATTAGATACAGATTTTATACAAGGTAAACGTGAAGCAATTTGGGAAAGGAAGTACTCAAAGTTGGGGAGATCACGACAGGCTTCCTCTAGGAAGTAGCCCCGAAACTGTGCTTTTGGGGGAGCACTGATATTCCATCCCTTGATAAATGTCATAGTTGAAAAGATATACGTTTGGTGCTGAGGGAGCACTGAGACACAGAAAAAAGCCTGGTGACCACATGGGCGCTGGGAGGAAGGAAACCCCTAACTCCCTCTCAGGGCAGAGGTTGGGCCTCTTTTGTAACGGCTGCCCCAAGGCCAGTTTGCTCACAGTCAGATTATGACTAAGCAAAAATGGTAATTGGATGGAGGAAAAGCAGGTAGAGATTGGCTGATGAAGAGGGGCTGGGAGTCAGCTAGGAGAGATGGAAGACTCTGCTGGATGGTAGAAGGGCCCCCATTGGAGGAAGGTCTGGAACCCCTCTCATCTCATCGATAAATCAATAAGCATTTTCTGTTATGTGCCAAGTACCCTGCTTAGCCAAAGGAAAACAAAAGCAGTCTTTGTCCGCAAGGAGCTTACAATCTAGCTAGGGAAGGCGACACACACATATATAGGCATACACAAAATAGATACAAGGTGAGGGAGAGGGAGAAGAAGGTTTTGGCAGCTCGGAGAATTAGCGAGTGTAGGGAAATGCAAAAGTTGAGCATGGGGAAATGCAAAAACATCGCCTGCCCTCAAGTTCACAAGCTAATGCTGAAGATAAAATGCAAACAACTGTATATAAGTATATACACACATACATAATACGCACTTAGGATATGATATATACAGGGTAATTTGGAAGTAATATCAGAGGGAAGGCACTAGTTTAGCATGGGGATGGAGGGGACTCGGTAAGGGTTCTTATAGAAAGGTGGGACTGGAGCTGAGTCTAAGCAGGCTAAGGAAAGAGGAGGGCATGGGAGAGGCCAGTGATGAGGCAGTGTGGAGACGTGGAGGGTGGTGGGTGACTTGGGGTGTGGCAGCCAGCATCTCTGATGGCGGGGTGAGCATGGCCAGAGCCAGGAAAGAGGGAGAAGGCAGCTCATTTATGTAGCAGGAAGGGTAGACTGAACAGGGAGGCATCTGAGGCAGATGGTTATTGCAATAACCCAGGTGAGAAGAGGTAAGGGGTCTGAGCGAGCTGGTTACCTGTGAGGCCACACTAAAGAGAAGAAGGCTCCCAGGAAGAGCACTAATCCTGCCTTTTAAATCAAGTCCAGATCCTGCCTCTTACTTTTCAGTTCTTCTTGCCACCTAGGTCATCCCAAGATCCTGCTGGGCCTATGACAGATAGTCATTCTCTTGGATTGTACCTGAAGTAAGGAAAGTGAAGGCTCCACTGGAGAGGAGGGAAGAGGTGGTGTTGGTGGTCGTCTATGTCCCGGGCCAACCTTTTAAAGTTCTATTTAAATGTTCTGTTGTTCAGTTGTATCCCACCCCCTTTGGGGTTTTGTGAGCAGAAGTACCGAAGTGCTTGGCCATTTCCTCCTCCAGCTCATTTTCTAGATAAGGAAACTGAGGCAAACAGGATTAAGTGACTTGCCCAGGGTCACAAGGCTAGGTTTGATTGAAGCTGAATTTGAACTCAGGGTTTCTTGACTCTAGCCTGCCCCCCACCTTCTGTGCACTCTGGCTCCCCCTAGCTGCCCACATTTAATGATTAACCAGTGATTAAAGAGCCTAAGACAGTAAGAAAAAGCTATAAAGGTCATCAACAGGAATTAGGGGATCTGAGTTCTAAACACAGCTGGTACAGTGTGGGCACTTGCTGGGCAGGTTCCTGGGGCTCTCTCAGCCTCATCTCTAACATGAGGATAAGAATCCTCCTTCACAGAATAGCTTTGAGGATCAAAGGGAGGTTAATAGAAGCGACCCAGACAACCTTAGAGGCAAACACACAGGGAGTCCCCAAAGTCCTAAAGTAGAAATGCTACAAATTTACAGTGAAACTGTATCGATGTGGTTATCATTTCAAACATAGCGAGCTCTTATAGTAGATAGAATCAAGAAAACCCGAGTTCAAATCCACCTTCAGACACTAGCTGTGTGACCCTGGGCAAGTCACTTACCTTTAGTTTGCCTCAGTTTCCACAACCGTAAAATGGGGATAATCATAGCACCTACTTTACAGGGTTGTGGGGAGGATCAAATGAAATAATTGTATTTAGTATTTAGCACTGTGAGTGGCTGGCGCAGAGCAGGTAAAAGCTTATGCTTTCCCTTTCCCCTTTAAAAATTGAAAATACTCGTACAGTTCTGTGCTCTGTATTATTCTAGTCATTTCAGACTTTGTAGAAACTTTCTTCAGCGGCAGCTCTGTTGAAGACAGAAAGAGATGTATTTATAATTGTAGCCTTGAGACCATCCAAAGGAGGTTCTGATATGCATCCGCAGCAGTTCAGGTGGGACCACACCAGAACAGGTCTAATGGAGAAAGACCAGGCAACCGTGGTGGCGAGCAAAAGGACCTTTTCTACCCGTCCACTGTCTGAGAAAATGTCATCGAGAAACTGCCCCCCCACCACACACTACAATGAAATGGTGATTTGTCTTGTCAAATTAAAAAGTTCATCTTTCAAAATTCACAAAACGCTGGAAATTGAAGTAATTAAACTTTGATAATTGTTTGTAAGATTATAGCATTTATGCTTCTGAAATTATTAAAACCGCTAAGACTCTGATGCACCTTGCACATGCCAACTGTAATTGTCATCAGCTAAATATTACCCATCAGCATTATGAGTAGAACCTGAAAGGCTCACCTGTTGTTAGGAAGAGTCTGTGAGCTGAGAGGCAGGTGGCTGGAGATCCGGCCTTCGATGAGGACCTGGGCTCTAGGCACATCCTGGGCACACCCCGGGGCCCACCCTGGCCTTGGATTGCCTTGGGGTGCCCTCTCTGGGAGTCTGAGTGGCAGACAGGCTGCCATTCTGCATCAGTGAAAGAAGCTTTCTGGAGTCCAAAAAGAAAAAGAATTGGGTTAATCCCCCCTCTTTGTAGTCTTTTCAATAGGGCACATGTGAAAACTTGGTAGTTCAGAGGGAGGCCTAAAATGGACATCCAGAGCGGCTCACTGGGGAAGACACAGCACAGAGTCTAAGCCGAAGACCTGGAGATGGTTGGGTGCTACCAATGGTTCTGTTTAAAGGCAACATTGCACAGCTCGGGCCAAGCTTTGGAACACTTCTGAGATACCTAAATGACACATACAATCATTCCAGAGATGTTGACCCATCCACACAGGAAAAACCAAGTGGATGACCAGTGCTGATTATCCAGACCATGCTGTGTAGTTGGATGGACAGCCCCAGAAGCTCACTTTTAACTGATAGGTCTTGCATGTTAGACAGACAATAAACTAGGCCTAGAACTGAGGAGCAGCAGGAAAACAGGCCCTTGGGGTTAGTGATGATCCTGAGCTTCTCCCTAAAAAGAGGCATCTTTAAAAAAAATAAATACATTCAGCAAGTAAAAAAAGAGAAATGTTTCACGGAACCCGGGCTGCTTTTCACTGATCTAGATTTTTCTGGAAAGATCCAGTCCTTTCATACCAGACGAAATAATTCTTTTCTCTTTGTGTTATCTATTTCCATGGCAACAGGTAGCAGTGTTGAATTCTGGCTTCTGCAGGGTAGCAAGCAGGAGAGGCCAACCTGAGAGAGAAAGCAGCCTCAGAAAACAAAATTAAAAAGCCAAGAGGGAAAGAGACCATTGGCAGACTTCTGGGCATGAGCGGAGCTTTTCACTTGGAGTTGAAAAGAATTTCCAATAAGCCGTTGAAAGCAGAGTACGGAGAACTGGTGGCCAGAAGTGATATTAAATTATTGAAATGATGGGGGAGACAATCAGAGGTAAGAATGGCAGACTTCTTCAGCCCAGCGTCCTCTGGCCAGGAATGGATCAGCCACTGTGCATCCAGGCTTGTTTCTCTTCTCCAGTTCATTTCATTAGAAAGCAAGCCCTTGGAGGGTAAAGACTGCAGAACTTTTGTCTGTTTCCCAAGCACTTAGTACAGTGCTGGGCACACAGTAGGTGCTTTATAAATGTTCTTGCTTTTTGGATTGTTCTAAGTTCGAAGGTTTTTGTGCAGTGATTCCACTGGGTCTAGCATTTGATGAACATTTGAAATAACTTGGATAACTGTAAATCTAAATACTAGAATAGTTTCCAAGGACATTGAACTGAATATGTAGTGGGAGCTAGGTGGGTTCAGTGGATAGAGCACCATACTTTGAGTCAGTAAGATGAGTTCAAAACCAACCTTAGACATTTGCTAGCTGGGTAAATCACTCCATGTCTGTCTGCCTTAATTTCTTGAATTGTAAAATGGAGATAATAAGAGCACAGAACTCCCAGGGTTGTAGTGAGGATCAAATGGGATAATATTTGGTTTTTGTTTTTTGGGTCGAGTGACTTGCCCAGGGTCACACAACTAGTAAATGGCTGGTTTTGAACTCAGGTCTTCCTGACTCCAGGCCCAGCTGCCTGAACACAAAACAATTCCACAACAACAAAACATAGCTATATGTGCAGCTCGGGGCTAGTACAATATGACAAACATTCATTAAGTGTCTACTATGTGCCAGGCACTTCCCTAAGTGCTGAGGATATAAACAAGGAAGACAGCCCTACCCTCACAGCAGGCTGTCTAGTGGGAGATACAAACCACAAGAGGTAGCTGACAAGGAGGATGGGGGGGAGGCGTGCCAAGGGGTTACCCGCTGCAGGGTACATGATGGTGGTGGTAGTGAGTCAAAACCAGGCAGAGCAGCTGGTGGCAAATGAAGAGGTGACTGGGATTTTGAGGCCTCCGTAAAAAGAGGCTGTGGGAGGGGTTTTTTCTTCTACCCTCTAGCCCCAGGGCAGCTAGGTGGCACAGTGGGTAGGGCACTGGGCTTAGAGTCAAGAAGACCTGAGTTCAAATCTAGCCTCGGACATTTACTAGCCATGTGACCCCGGGCAAGTCACTTAATTTCTGTTTATCTCAGTTCCTTCTCAGTAAAATGAGCTAGAGAAGGAAATAGCGAACCATTGCAGTATCTCTGCCAAGAAAGCCCCCAATGGGGTCACAAAGAGCTGGATATGACTGACCCATTCAAAGGAGATGAAGCCACTGAGGGTATGGATGAAAGGAAGATCCTCAGCCTAGAGGCATGGTCTGGTTCTTAATCTCTTTACTTCCTAAATCCAGTTTCCAAGGCCTTGGGGGAGGAAGGGGAGGGGTCTTTGACCCTGATACACTTTCTTAAAAGAAAAACTTTAGGCTGAAGAGAAAGGGAGAAAAGGATTTTTCTGTGGCCAAAGAAGTTTGATTCAGAACTGATAAAAATTCCCTCCCTTCGGGAATGTTTGGAAAGGGCTTTAGACTGGAGAAATGCTCGTTTCTTAGTATTTTCACATGACTTAAACAGAGGTTTTTGGGGTACTCCATGTCTGGATCTCCTTCCTTTCTAGGCCATGCTTGGCACTTTATCATGCTGCTCCCCGGAAGCTCGATCTAGCCCTGGGATTCCCATGATGGAAGTGTTCTCGGACCATTTGGCCTCTCCCTCTGATTGGATACCTCCTCCAAGAACCTCCATTTAAGGGGGGCAACCAGTGGAGCCTCCTTCTTCTATTCTCTCCAGGCTTAGTGCCAAACTTTATTTACCATGCTCCCTCGGCCTCCCTTTCATGTATTGTCTTTCCCATTAGCATGTAAGCTCCTTGAGGGCAGGGAATTTTTTTTTCCTGTTAATAATTTTAATTTTAATGATAATTATAATATTTCAGCTTGTAATACTGGATTTGGCTTAGAAGTTTAATAAATTTCTAGTAAGTGCTTACTAAGTATTGTCTGATTGTTGATTGACAGACCTGGCCTCCTAAAAAGGGCTGGGAATAGCGAGGCTAGGGGGGAAACTGCCCCTCCCCTCATGGAATTTTACAATCCTTTAACTGATGGGGTGTGGCCCAAACCTAGGTTTTCACCCCTTGCACCAAAGGGAATCTGATTCCTATTTGTCTACAGGCCCCAGCCCTTGTCTCCCTTTGAAAGCCCTAGCCCCACCTTTTTGATTTCATTATCTATTCCCATTGTCTATTCAATCTCTTGGACCTTCCAATTAGAATTCTCACCTACACCCTTTTCCCAGACCCTCCCCTGGTCACCCAAAGTCACTTTAGTATATAAGATCTCCCCTGGCCCTCATTCAGGCCTGAGAATCTGAAGCCAAAAGGCTGAGAACCTCTTATGTCCGCTCGTCCTCACGGGAGTTACCTGGCCTATGGGATTTATCACTAATAAACTTTTCCTCTGGCCGAAGAAGATTTGAGTTGAATTCTTTCAGGCAGGGCCTGGCACCGTGATCTGGGAGTTCCCAGCTCCCCAAAACCGCTAGACCTCTTCATAACCTCCAGAAACAGAAAGGCTTCTTGTAGAAAGGTAGCGCTTGAGTCGCTTCTTCCTCCCCGCCCCCAGGCAATCAGGGTTAAGTGACTTGCTCAGGGTCACACAGCTACTGAGTATCAAGCCTGAGGCCAGATTTGAACTCGGGTCCTCCTGACTCCAAGGCTGGAGCTCTATCAACTACATCACCTAGCTGCCTCTTGAAGAGAGGGATTCTCTAAAGCAGACATGAGGAGGGAAGGTATTCCAGACATGGGGGACCGCCCAGGGCAAAGGCACGGAGATGGGAAATGAAGTGTCAAGTGTGAGGATCAGAAAGAAGGTCAGTCTGGATCAAAAAGTACGGGAATGGGAATAACATACAAGGAGCCCAGAAAGATAGGTTGAGGCCAGGTTGTGAAATAAAAAGCAGAGTTTTTATACTTGATTCTAGACCCAGTAGGAAACTACTGGTGTTTATTGAGGAAGAGTTAGTGACCAGGTTAATCTGAGGGCATGTTTCCCCAGACCCAAAGATTGACAAGTGTACTCGTCTCACTGACCAATGACTTACGGGCTTCTAAAACCATGGCTAAAGATGTCAGCTACACATCACCTCCTCCCACTCGATTGGACGTTTCTTGCCATTTCACCTGGGTTTCCCTTCTTTAGTACTTCACTCCTTCAAATTCCCCAAAGAACATCAGAAGACTCTGTCAAATGCATTAATGCTGGCCACAATTGTCAGGCAACAGGAAGACTGAGTAGTGGGTGCTGTTATAGCCACCACCACCATTGCAAAGCTGTAAGATTTTCTTCCAGTTACTTTTCTCAGTTGTGATCGGATTTCAAAGACATAATTTCTGAAATCCCTTTCCTCTCTTTATCTGTGCCTAGCCCTTAATCAGTGCTAATTGGCAGATTGATGGACAGATCTCTATTGTATGCAAACTCTCAGGGAAGCACAGGATGGATTCATTTCTCTAAGTAGGATGGGGGCTGAGCCATGAGCTCACAAATTGTCCGCAGGAAACTCTGACTAGGGAGAGAAAGGTAGCACTGCCCACAAAGGGGGCAAAGCCCCAAATCCTGGCGTCTAGCTCTGCCAGGGAGCATGACACCCTCTGGTGTTGACTGGTGCATAGGACAGGTGAGGAGAGGTCTGGATTGCCAGGTGTCACATAACCTGTTGTTTGCTGCTGAATAAGATTAGGTATTGACATGATGTCTCCTGGAATCACAAATGCAAAAAAGTCAGCTCCTTAAGAGAGGGAGTTTTAAAATTTTGCTTATTGCATCCTGAGGTAGGGATATAATACAATGTATGTGTGTGTGTGTGTATACATATATATATATATATATATATATGTATACACACACACACACACACATATATGGATATATGTTATATAATACACAGGAGGGTTCCTTCAACATATACCACTTTTGTTGAATCATTTTTCAGTCTTGTCCAATTCTTTGTGAGCCCATTTGGGATTTTCTTGGCAGAGACACTGGACCAATTTGCCATTTCCTTTTCTAGCTCATTTTACTGATAAGGAAACTGAGGCAAACAGGGTTAAGGAACTTGTCCAGGGTCTCACAACTATTAAGTGTCTGAGACCAAGTTTGAACTCACTGAAACGAGTCTTCCTGACCCCAGGCCAGGTGCTCTGTGCACTATGGTGCCCCTAGCTTCCCACACACACACATATACTACAAATGCCTAATAAGAAATTGTTGAATTGAATTGAATTGAATGGCCAGTAAGGAAAAATTTTAGTGGGTGAAATTCTATCATCCCAAAGCCTGCTATAATGAAGTGTCTTGGTGGAAGCTGTTAGCACCAAACAGCTTCTGCTGTGAACACTGACAGTCTAGTCCAGAGAATTAAGAGAGAAACCTCCATTAAATGTGTCCTAATGGACCTTTAAGTGTGTCTATCTTACAGTGAAGAAACAATGACACTTTGGCCTTGCCAAAAAAAATTTAAAAATCTTTTTGTTAAAATTCAGTGAGAATTTCACGAGGTCAATGAGTTCTGAACCCTTTGTGTTCTGTATTCCTTGGACGGTCAGTCTGGTGAGGCCTCTGGACCCTTATTCAGAATCATAGTTTCAAGTGCATAAAATAAAATACCAAGGAAACCCAATATACAGAAATGCAATTATCAAAATATACATTTTTTAAATTGGCGGTTTTGGGTCTGGTTACCTCATGACTCGGTAGTTTTGTGAATCACTACCTACGACAAAAGAGCAATCCTTACGGACAGACTTGTTCATCAAAGCCAACAATGCTGTGATCACAGAGTGATGTAAAGTTTCCAAAAATGTTTCAGAGCCAAAGTTGGGCTTTTAGAGCATATCCATTCCCTCCATCTCCTCCCCAAGCAGGGCTATTCTATTTACAATGGGGTCACCCGATACAGGCAGGCCCAACTCCCACAGGGCTTGTGTTTCCAAGGCATTTTTAATTGGTTGGTAGAGCACAGGCCTCATTTCCCCACAGAGGGTGCTTTGGTGTGAGGGCCTGTTCACAGGAGTCTATTTAAACCTCAACGCCCAGACTTTTTCTGATGGGTTAATCAATTATGCTGATTTTTCCCTCCTCCTTTTTTTCTTTAAAATTTTCTTTATTATTTATATATTTATTTATTATATTAATAAACTATTTATTATAGGTGATAGCTCTCGGAAGGGAAGAGGAAGGAGGGCTGGAAAAATATTGTCATATAAAAATACATCAATAAAATTTATTTTAAAAAATGCCATCCTAATACGGAAATGTTTTGCATGACTGCACATGTATAATCTATATAAAATTGTCTGCCTTCTCAAGGAGGGGGAGGGGAGAGGGGGAGGCAATACAGAACTAAAAAATTATAAAATGTTAAAAATTGTTTTTACATGTAATTGAGGAAAAATGAAATGAAAACATTCTTTTTAAAAATGGCATTTATAGGATATGAGGTTTGGACCTAGATGTGCCCAGGGTCACACAGGCAGGGACTGGCAGCTGAAATTCAAAACCAGGTGGTGTTGCCTTAAATCCTGTGTTCTTTACTGTATCTATGGTGTTTGGGAAGGGTTCAGAATCTGGAATTCCCTGAGCCCTTCTGGGGCCAAATCCCCGAGCTGCTCTGAGTCATGAGCCTCCTCAGTCCTAGGCTCCCTAAACTCTAGCCCTTCTGAGCCAAGAACCCCTCTCAGCCCCTGAGAGGCCCCCATGAACCTAGAGCTCTGGGTCTTAGCGAATCCTGGGCCCCTGTGGTCCTTGGGTGTCTCTGAGTCTTTAGCCCTGAAACGTGAAGCCCTTCTGAGTTCTGGGCCCTTCAGATTTCACCAGAGCCTTAAGCCACCTCTTAGGCCAGAGGCTTCCCCAAGATTGGAATGTATCTCAGCACTGGAGGTCGTCACCTAAGACAGGTCATGACTGCCTCCTATACCATCTCCATCATTTGTCCTCCAGCCTCTGCTGGAAGACCTGCAGTAAGGCGGGTAACAGCAGAATCAATCTAGGAGGGCTTATTCCATTGTGGGTCAGCTCTAAGAAGAAAGGGAAAGGAAGCAAGCACTTTGGTAGACTAGAGAGAGCATTGCATTTGGGGACCTGCCTTCGAAACCTGACTGCTATTCAGTATCTGTGTAACCTTGGGCAAGTGACTTAATTTCCCTGGGCCTCAATTTCCTACTATGTAAAATGGCTGGCTGGGGATGGTTAGCTCTGAGGCCTTCAAGATATCTTTTAGCTCTAATTTTTTCCTCATGTTGAGCTGGAATCTCAGTGTAACTCTCTGTAACTACACCTGGTGAGGGGTCTTAGTCAGAAGGTGGTTAATTCCATTGCTACATGAGAGCCCTTTAAAGGCTGCACATCTCCTGGATGCTTCTGCATGAGACCCTCCCGTGGCCACGTCCCCTCAGCATCTTCCTCTTTGGGCTCTGAGCTCGTCCATGTCTTTCTCAGCATGCGGTGCCCAGACTGAACCCGTGCACGTGGCAGGACAGAGGAGTCTGTGCAGGGCTATGGGCTGCCTGGCTCGGCACGCTCACCTCCCTCATCTGAGACCGAATTACCGGGTTTTTTCCTCCACATCATACCGCTGGCTTTGAGAGGGTTTGGAATTCCTTAAGATTCTTAGGTCTTTACATCAGCTGTTGCTCCAGTCCTGAGACCCGTGGCTGCAGCTAGCTTTCTTGAAGCCAGCCCCAGGGTTCAAGACATGAGCAGTTTATTTGGAATTCCTGAAACAGCTGTGAGGGAAGGATGAGCAATGGACTGACGTTAACGTGCAGGGAGGTCTCTGGTGGAGTGCCAAAGGGCTCTATCCTTTGCCTGAATCTCTTCAATCTTTTTTTTTTTAAATCTGTAAAAGCCAGCGTGATTCAGTGGATAGAACATGGGATCAGGAGTCAG